GTACAGGGACGGCAGAAGTGGCAACAGATGTCATGCCACCTAATATTTCCGATGCTGTGGTGCTGTTAAAGCCACGTGATGAATGGAAGAATCCAAAGCAAACAATTGATGAGCTACGTCAACGTATGATTGCATTTCTTGGTACATTACCCGGAAATAATAGTGAGTTTTCTCAACCGATTGAGCTGCGTTTCAACGAATTAATTTCTGGTGTGCGAAGTGATGTGGGGATCAAGATTTTTGGCGATGATATGGAGGTGTTGAATCAACAAGCCACTAAGATTGCACAACAAATCAAAGGGATTACTGGCGCAACTGCCGTCAATGTGGAACAGACTTCAGGCCTACCACTTTTAAATGTTGAAGTGAACAAAGCCGCGGCAGCGCAATATGGTCTGTCGGTGAGAGCGATTCAAGACTTGGTGGCAACCAGTGTCGGCGGGCAGAATGTTGGTCAGATCTTACAAGGTGACCGCCGTTTCGACTTTGTGATTCGTCTGGATGATGCTCAACGTACACCTGAACATCTGGCCGTTTTACCTATTCAAACGCCAAACGGAGGTCTAATCCAACTTCAGGATGTGGCTAAAGTTGAAAATATCCTCGGTATTAATCAGGTTAGTCGTGAAAATGGTAAACGTCGTGTGGTCGTGACTGCCAATGTCGAAGGGCGCGATTTGGGCTCATTTGTCACCGAATTACAATCGACTTTGGCGAAGCAGGAAATGCCTGCGGGTTATTGGTTGAGTTATGGCGGACAGTTCGAAAACCTAACCTCTGCGAAGGCACGTATGCAGCTGGTCGTTCCACTGGCGCTGATAACTATTTTTGTGCTGTTGATGGCCGTTTTCCATAACTTTAAGGAAAGTTTGCTGGTATTTACTGGTGTTCCATTTGCACTGTGTGGTGGTTTGATTGCACTGTGGCTTCGCGGTATACCATTGTCGATGTCTGCAGGTGTGGGCTTTATCGCGCTCTCAGGTGTGGCGGTATTAAATGGTTTGGTAATGTTGACCTTTATTAAGGAATTACGTCAACAACTGGATGTTTATCAGGCCACATGGCAAGGTGCAATTTTACGTTTAAGGCCCGTATTGATGACGGCTTGTGTGGCATCGTTAGGTTTTGTGCCGATGGCGTTGGCTACAGGGACAGGTGCGGAAGTTCAGCGTCCACTGGCAACCGTGGTGATTGGCGGCATCATGTCATCCACCTTACTGACTTTGGTGATTTTACCGGTGATTTATCGCTGGATGAATGAACGTAAAGTTAAAGCACAAACGGATGGTTGATCGTTAATTTAAAAATAACCTCACCGTTCTTAGCCAAGAAGGGTGAGGCATTGAAACTGTATAGACAGTTTATTATTGGCTAACAGGCAATACACCTAAACTAATGATGGTGTAATTTTGATTTACAGGTTGAGTGGTTTGGTTAAATGCTTCACTGATTTCAAGCAGATATTGCCCTGAATAAGGAAAAGTGACTGTCGCTGAACCATCTTGAGCAACCGGAACTTTTTGCGCTTGTTTATCGGTTTGCCCTTGAGCACGGATGAGCAGTTCAGCATTTTTGAGTGCTTGTCCTGATTTTTTAATCAAGATTTGTACAGGTTGCTGCGCAGTAATGCTGTTGGGGTGGGTTTTAAATTCGACTTGTATTGCAGCATCAGTGTTGTTTTGAATAGGTGACGTTTTTTCTTTAGAAATATAGCTTTGGATTGACCATTCTCGGTTAATGGTGATCGGTACAGGCGGTTTCTTAAAGTCAGCAGGAATCACATATTCGCGCTCAGCGATCTTACCTGCTTTCTCAGCAGGGACATCAAAAAGCATTTTCCATTCTTTATTATGTTGGACATATTTGAGTGGGAAAGACGCTTTGCTGAACAGGTGATAGGTGCCTGCTTGTGGTAAGGCTAAGTCAAACACCGTAGCCGATTTTAAAGTGCTTGCAGCTTCAACTTGTAATTTGCTTTGATCTGGTTGAATCACGTTGAGCGCGGTTTGTTTCATGGCATGTTCTGCATTTAGTGCTTCTTCAGCATAGGATGCAATCACTGGGATTTGTGTATTTGTGGTGTTATAGCCCAGAGGTGCAACATAGGGTTCATGTGCATAACTATAAGAGCAAAGAAGTACAGAAAGGTAGAGGTATTTTTTCATTGTCGATATTCCATTAACAGGGGTATTTGAACTGTGGAAAATATAGTCGCCATTATATAGAAGAAACCTTATTATTGATAATAATAATTATTATCAATAATAAATAGAAAAAATATTCAATATTTTGATAAAACAAAATCAGAGGTATGAACATGAGTGAACAACAAGGGCATGATCATAGTCATGCTGTACGTCCTGTTGTTCCAAAAAGCTTGGTATTTTTGATTCCGTTACTGTTTATTTTGTTGTTACTGGTCGTCATTAGTATTGTGATGTGGATTTTCAGCAACGGTGCAGGTCAAACATTGCAAATTGCAACAGTTGTGGTCTTCATTGCAGCTGTGATTGCAGGGGTAATGTTTTGGCGTGATCTGCCTGATTTTAAAATATCAATGCAATCATTTATGCAAGCCAATAAAAGCTGGAAGTGCCGTGAC